TTCTTGAGTTTTACGTTCAAAAAAGTTGCAGAGGTTTTCAATCTTTACATGTTTGGCTCTGATACCAATTGTTGTTTTCATTTTACACAATGATATGTATTGAATACGAGAAAGTTTACAAAAGATGAAGAATGACATATTCAATAGCTACAATGATTATCGACTCTCAAGCTCTCCAGAACCATGGATGCATAATTCAAAGTTGTCCAAAGTTGGGTTTACGGAAGCCGATTCTTCAGATATGTAATATCTGAAGGCTGGCCTTCCGTATTACAAAAGGCTCCTGGGCCCAAAAATAAAGTTGGCCCTATTAAATAAGAACTCTGTAATATATTAATACAAAAATGCAAAAATGATTTCATAATAAATTCAGTTGTACACAATAAAATGATTCCTAACAATGACTAACTTCACTTTTATATCCATTGTATATTTCATTGCATGAAGCAAATACTTATGCAATATAACAAATAAAAAAACGAATAAATTGTACTTTTGCGCTACAACAAATAGTACGTCCACATAACGTACCCATTGGTTAGATTCTGTATCAAATCAATGGCTAAATTATGGTTCAAATTCAATATATACCTTAACAATATGCATAAATACACTGTGTTAAATTATTATAAAAATATCATATAAAATATTCGTATATATAATATGAACAGCCTGAAAAGCATCACAATAATATATATCTTACATATCACCTTAATTATTATTTAAATATACACGACTCCAAGAAATAACAATAATATACTCCCTCTGTCTTAAAAACATTTTTAAAAATGACTTAGGAGTTTGACTAAGCATAAATTTAATCCTTCCCTGACATTTTTTACGTTAGTGATATCAACAAAAATTTATACTCATATATCTTAAAATTATTTGGAGTAGTTACTTGATTAAACAACGTTGGGGAGAATATTTGAAAGCGCAAGGTATTAAATGGTGTTATTTTCCTAAAGGTCTATCTATTCATTGAAATAGTACTTATAAATTGATTGTAATTCAATAATTGTTCTGACATTTAAAAATGAGTTACCTGCATTTTTAAAAGAATTTTGTGGGCATATTATTGAACCGTATGAAATGGACACTATGGAAAAATCGAAAATACTTAAGTATATTTTTACAACGTCACTATTTCTTTTTCTCATGTTTATTTAGAAACTAGTAATGCATTTATGTAGGAAGCCATAAATCTTGCCGGCACGTTTCAAGAATTTGAAATAGCCCAACATTTGCATTTCTTTTGTGACGAAATGAAAATTAAGTTTTTAAAATGTTATTAACATATTCACCCTATACATGTTATCATAAATCTTGCTAGTTGTGATTTGTTTAAGAGTATTATTATTTTGTTTCTTCGATGATATTTTATCTATGTACGAAGAGTACTCCATTCATGTTCATGCCGAATTTTCCAATTTAAGTAAGTTATTCAGTAATATATTTAATGACTTTTAAGCAAGATGTGAAGATTTTTTTTTAAAAAAATATTACTGAAATATGTTATACGGAGTATTTGTGTGCTATAATTCTGTATGCAAATGAAACAACAAATAATTAGTTAAGGAAAAACATGAAATTACTTGAAACCGAGCTAAACGTAAACATTGTTTCCTCAAGATGATTTTGCCCGACACATGTAGCAAATGTCTCCTAGGATAGAGCAGTTCTTCGTTCCCAACAGAACTCTGGTGAACTCAAATATGCAACAATGGAGTAAGAGAAACAGAGAAGGAAGTTGTGTTATTTTTGGATTATCAAAGACAGTAGACCGATTGGGTATTTACAGAGCTCTGGCAAGGAGTTTCTAACCCAAAAGACATCTATTTCAAGGAGAAAGTTTGCATCTTTTCTGTTTAATGGTCTTATCCAAAAAAGAAGAAAAATTGTAGCAAAAATAACCTATAGCCTTTAGGCATGTAGACTATTAACACCCGGAGTTCACCGGTCAAAGACCCGAACCCGGGCAAACGAACGGCGGCAGCGGCGCACGTGTGAAGAGTTAATTCAACGATCACCGTATATGGGTCTCTCCACACAACAAAACTTTGGTGCCCCAAGGGCCCAACCTAATAGCTAAGAGCATCTCCATTCATGATATCTAAATAAACGTTTTTTTTTTTACAACGTCAAAAAAAAAAAACGGTTTTTCTAGTACACCTAATTGTCATGTCATTCTTACGCATTAAATTCTGAATAATCTCAAAGCTTAATATTATTCATCAACAATGATATTCATATAGTTAGCTTTTTTATGACATGCATTAAATGCATTTTAACTATAATCTACAATCATCCGGGATTGGAATCTTGATACCGGATTTTCTTTTTAAATAATTCTTCTAAATAATCTCTTTCCCTCAATGTTAATCTTTGAAATAATCTAACATGTCATCTCATTAATCTTCAAATAATCTAACCAATGGTGATGCCCTAAGGAAAAGTTATGAAAAGACACTTCATCAACTTTCCATTTTCGGAGTGGGACAAAGTCCTTTCTGAAACTAGTTTTTAGGCAAGTTCGGAGAACAATTTTTCATTCATTTTAAATGATTTTGCACAATTTTTCATTCATTTTAAATTATTTTGCACAAATTATATGTTTGTGTTCACCTTTCAGAGTACTACGCGTTAAGACTTAATCCTACCACAAACGTGTTCTGGGTCCCTGAATTATTTTAGCTCAAAGGTGGCCATTATATTAAAGCAAAACCAATTTTCCAAAAAAATTAATTTTATTGTAAAAAATATGAAACAAGTTATATTATAGTGTCATGATCACTTAAGTGTAAAAACCGAACATAAGTTACTACAATTAAAATTATTAATATAGTCGCTACACTTATTAAGAAGTCACATTTTTGTAAACTGCCTCTATTATAGTCATAAATATGTAATTATTTATTTCATATGAAAATGCCCCCTTCCAAAATAAGTGACTTCATCTAAGGGAAGAGAACTCTTTTCAGTGCACGTTAAAAAATCTTTTGAAAAAACACAATCTATTTCTAGTGTTGTGCAAAACTCATTTAAACGAGATTTCTTTGTATCTAGCATTTCCTTGTGATCACGTCGGTGAGAAGTTTGGTGTAGTACCCATGTGGAAAGATAAAGACATAATGTTTTTGACATTATCAGTAATGTTGAAACAAGTGTTACCGATGCCCGTATCGAGTATTGCGGTTAAACAAAATTTATAATAGTAGTAATATTCTCACCTAGTACTGGACTCAATGTCGAGTCTAGTCTAATTTGCTTAGATTTGGTATATTCAATATATACATATATATAAGAGGAACTTTTTAAGAGCATACAAAGCGCCACATAATCATGCCATGTCATTATATATAACTTATTTAGTTATTTTTATACCTTTTGTTTTTATTAGATTCTATTTTTGATTGGATATTGATTTGATATAGAAACAAATGATCATAGAATCCACCTTAATTAACTTGGTAACTTTTTCAACACCTATTAAGTATTTGGTACTCCGTAAGTATTAAGTATACATATTTGTATATTCAAATATAGAATCTCTTAAAAAGAATACTTCTGATCAAGTAGCTTACCATATTTAATAATGATAGAAATTGATATCATACATAAATACGGAGTATATGTATATTTATATATATTTTCACAAGTAAATAAGTTTAGCCTAGCCAAAAAAGTACGGAGTATATATTAGTACAATTTAAATATGACTTAACTTTTGAAATAGATTCCTAATCCAAATTAGGAAATCTTTATATGTTTACAAATTCCTAACTTTATTCAATAGAATGTTTTTAATTGGATTAATTTCAGTTTCAGACTAATCAGACCAGATCAAACTTTAATAATAATAAGGAACCTAGTAATAATAAGTCACATAAAATGTAAAACAATCATCTACCAGAACATATTAATCTAAACCAAATCAAATCCAAAATTTTAATTCAATTAAAAATGTCCTTATTAATAAGTAAAATGTAAGATCTCAAAATTAAAATTAAAAAATGTGTATTTCATGCCAAGTTGAATGAGAAATATTAGAAAAGTATTATTTTGAAATGCTCAATAAAGTAATTTAGACATCCATAACAATTAAAATTCATTTTCAATGTAACAAAATAATGAGTAAAATGTAAAATAAAAGGTCCATTTTTTTACTTTTACAATGTGACATAATAATGAGTAAAATGTAACATCTTATTATTAAAAGTTAAAAGTATGTACTCAGTATTTCATGTCAAGTTGAATGAGGAGTATTAGGAAAAAAAACTTGAGGTGCATAATAAAGTAATTTAGAGGACGTGAGATTACGACTTCTTTAAAATCGGGTTCATAACAATTATTTTTACTTACTGTAAAAAAACAATTATTTTTACTTGAGATGCTTATGCAGAAGACCATTTTAAGTTTTAACTATTTTTCATATAATTCTTTCTTTGTTTTACAAATGAAATATATTTTACAATTTTTTTTCATGATTTGGGAGATCCACCTATTCAGCCCATTCAATTAGAATTTAATCAATTTCAACAAAATAAGCTAATTCGACTAATTTTAGTATTATCAAACAGATTCTATATTAGACTGAATTCATGCATTTTGTTGTTGTTGCAATGGAGGGGCTGGAAAACTAATTTGATCTATTTAAATATGATCTTGAATGGAAACTAATCCAAATAAAAACATCATATAAGTAACAAAATAGAGAAATCTATATTTTTAAGGACAAGGGAAGAAGTAAAACCTAAGGGCAGGGGTATGTTCGATGGTCTGTATTTGTATGTACCATTGGGATGATCCTATAGTTTTAAAATGCATTATTATAATATGTATAAGTACTGTATATAATAACAGAAAGAAAATAATAATCTAGGAAGCCGTAGTACCTGCAAGCTCCCTCCATCCATACATCTTTTTTATTTTAAAAAATAATAAAACATGGGCTACATTATTTATTATTGATGATTCTTAGTTTCTTACATAGAACGGCCCCTGCGTATACGGACGGGGATGGATGTGGTGCTATTAATTTTGGCGCAACACTGTTGATCGGTAATTGAATTTCCCGGGAGATTTATTACTGTTATATGTTAACAGCAACAATCTAATTGCTTTCCGATTCCTTTTTTCCTCGAGAAATCTCCCTTCCTATTCCTTTTTCCTCACCCCCCCTTCCTTCTCCCTCTTTATATGTCTTAGGGTTTACGCCATCTGTGCTGCAAGCTCGATTCAGCATGGAGAACCACACCCCACCCTCAATCGATCTCCACCCACCCTCCAATCCCAAGACCCCATCTCGGATCCGCGCCCGGAATTCATCCATTCATTCACCATCTCGGACTCTCTACAGCGATCGCTTCATTCCCAGCCGATCATCCTCCAATTTCGCCCTTCTCAACGTCTCCCTCCCTCCCCATTCTCCCTCCTCCGAAGATTCCACCAATGCCTATACCGCACTCTTGAGGGCCGCACTCTTCGCTCCTGATCGAGGCGGTGTCTTGCCTCCTTTGACTCCCCATATCTCCTCACCTCATCTCCTCACTGCCCCTCCCAATCGCAATATTTTCCGATTCAAAACTGAGACTCGCAAATCCTCCAATTCTTTGTTCCCTTTCGTCTTTGATGATCACTTACCAGGTTTTCATCCCAGTCCTGTCAAGGATCCCAGGAAGGTGCCCAGATCTCCTTTCAAGGTAAAAAAAAAAAAAAAACCTTCCGTCTAGATGCTTTCTATTTCATGACCTTTTTACTCATCGTTTTCAATCCTTCCCACGCTACTGTTTTTTCATCTCCTTTTTCTGCTCCCGATGAAAATTCATTGTAAATCACAAAATTCCATTCCTTCTCTACAAGTAAATGAGAATAAGAGTTTAAAGAAAAGGCAGGAAGAGTATTTTGGTACAGAGGGAGTGTTATTTGTTTGAAACTGATTTCCTGATCTAATGATTAGGTATTGGATGCGCCAGCTTTGCAAGATGATTTTTATCTAAACCTTGTGGATTGGTCTTCCAATAATGTTTTAGCTGTTGGATTGGGGAACTGTGTATATCTATGGAATGCTTCTAGTAGCAAGGCAAGCTCTACGTTTCCACACGTATCCTTTCTGTTGCAATATTGATCACCCATCTGCTGTATTTCATTTACTTAGTTGTGGATTTTATTAATATGCAATAAACATATTCAGGTAGTAAACCTGTGTGACTTGGGAATTGATGACAGTGTTAGCTCAGTTGGATGGGCTCAACGTGGCACACATCTTGCCATTGGAACTAACAATGGACAACTTCAGGTTTGATCTCAAACATTTTATAGTTTTACAATGCATAATTTATATTCACCAGATTTGCTCATTATCATTGGACTTATCTATTTGCCTGATCCACATTTAATGCTTTTGTTTTTCTATAGCTCATTACGCTTAGATTTACCTGTCAGCTGTGCATTTAACTTTATGTTCATGCAGTAATCACTTCATAAATTTTCAGTTTCATGACTTTCTGTGCATCTATCAAACAGAACTTCCTTAAGAAGTAGCCTCACTAGCGCATTACATCCTAGTCATGAGGTCATATTACTTCAAAGTTTGAAATGATTAGGCTATTTTATAACTCCTCTATTTTAATTCACTGATCATGTAAGGCTGATTATGATATATGCATATCTACAAAACCTTTTAATGAGGCATCCACAAGCTAATCATACCATCATCCTTCTGTTGAAAAGTTTAGAATGATCTACAATGTACTTATTAGGGAAGATATTTTTGTATCAGTGACCAATTTTGATCTACTCCTCTATAGTATTTATAAGAAAAAGCCACATTCCACCCCTTGATTAGCGCATTGATTGCACAGATATGGGACGCTTCTCGGTGTAAGAGAATAAGAACCCTGGAAGGACACCGATTACGAGTTGGTGCTCTAGCTTGGAGTTCATCTGTTTTGTCTTCAGGAAGCCGTGACAAGAGCATTCTTCACCGTGATTTACGTGCTCAGGAAGATTATATCAGTAAGCTAAGTGGTCACAAGTCAGAGGTAGGTTCTAAATGCATGATCTATTGAGCTTGCATTTTTCTTCTTATTACCAATAGTCAGAATCTGTTTTTAGTGCTATTTGTTGAGATTCCTCAATGGTTTGGTTCTCTACTAGAAAGTCAGGTAGTTGTTTCTCTTGAACGTCCTATAGAGTGAGTTTAGTACTCTCTCCGCCCCACTATTATGATCCCGTTGCGGTTTACGATGCTTGACCGACGATAAAGCAAACGGCTCCCTGTCCACACTCAAATTATTTTTAGAAAAAAAAAATACATATTCAGAAACTACATTAAAAGCCTTACAAAGTCGCAAAGAAGAATCAAATTTGATATATAAAGTAAGAGATTAAGAATGAATTGTGTTGACGGAGGGAGTACAAATTTAACATGGTATTAATCAGTGTAGTCAATCCCGGATATTGGTGCTTAGAAGAATGCTATAGCAGTATGGCGGGTAGCGGTATTAAGTGCCATTCTTTAATTTTTTGTACAGAAACAGAGTATAAATCTATAGTTATATATAGCTATGAGCTATATAAACATCAAATCTAAAATATGATAATCATATTATGTATGGTTATCTGAGGTCACAGGTTTCCTGTGATAGGTCGCCGGAAGTCGCAAATGAGGGAGGTGGGCTGTTGATGCCTTGGGAGGCTGCAGAGGTGGGTGGGTCAAAGACTTGGGAGGCTTATTGCTTGAGAAGATTTGAGACTTGGCATTAAAACAGAGAAGGGGAAGGAGTGCTTTTTAACTGTGAAAGTCTGGAATCTCCACCTAAAGAAAAAACCTTTTAAACCAAAAGTACTGCAGTGCAGAATTGCAGATATAACACACTATTGATAACGCTAGTATCAACCCATTTAATATGATATTAGAGCTAGATCTGATTGTGGTTTGCGGGTGTTTGTCAACTCGATGTTTTGGAGCAATGTGTTCGGGTCAATTTAGACCTATTAATCTATCACTTCTATTTTCTGGTCATGCTTAGGACTTTAGGCTGGGGTGGGTGTGTAGATTGTTGAGTATCTTAAACCTGCTTCTTACTAAGTTGAGTCTAGTACATACGTAGTATCTTTTAGGTAAAGCCCATTTCTTTTGGAACCTTTTGGTGAGAGTTGTGCCTACTGCCTAGCTTAACGATATACTTCTCAATCATTGTATGCTAAACTGTTGTTGGATTTAGGTCTGTGGATTGAAGTGGTCACATGATAACCGGGAATTGGCATCAGGTGGAAATGATAACAGAGTATGTTTTTTCTGAGAAATAAAAACCATTTTGTAATGATTGATTACTACATTAAAGAAAATGATCTATATTAAATGTTTTGCATCTATAGCTTCTTGTATGGAACAACCACTCAACACAACCTGTACTGAAATATTGTGAGCACACTGCTGCTGTGAAGGCAATTGCATGGTCACCCCATCTTCATGGTCTTCTTGCTTCTGGTGGTGGAACTGCTGACCGATGCATTCGATTTTGGAATACTTCCACGAATACTCACTTAAATTGCATGGACACTGGTAGCCAGGTGATAAGCTTTTATTATCTTCATTAAGTTTATCAAATTTCTGAGAAGTATATATTCCACAACTTTCTTGCTGCATATGATGATGATGAAGGAATGAATATTTTTCACAATTTTCTTATGCATATAGTTCTTGTTTTCTTGCTGTCATATCAATATTTCCATTTAAAGGATATAACCCTCAAGTGGGTCGATTATTCCTTCATATTCTGCTATCTCATTTTTCCGTTCGGATTTTTCTACTGTAAACATGAACTAAATGGTAATATTTACCGAATGCATGAGTAAAATGAAAAGTTCTTTCTTGAACACTAAATGGTAACTAGCTATAAACTCTTGGACCGAATGCATGAGTAAAATGAAAAGTTTTTTCTTGAACACTAAATAATGACTGGCTATAAACTCTTGGACCAAATGCATGGATAAACTTATAGTATTTAAAAACGTTTATTGTAATGAGTGATCAGCAAACGACTTTTTACTCCCCTCTGTCCCCAAGAATGATTAACATGTCAATTTTTCTTTTCTTTTCAGTATAAAATAAAGTGACCCATTTGATCAAACGAAGCTAATTTTTCACATAATTGCCACTAAAAAGTTACAAATAAGTTATGGTAGATTTAGTTTAACCATCAAATAAGTTTTTAAAATATAAACATGATTCTTTGACTTTGAAGATATGTACCTCACCTACATCGTAAACTGTTACCTTGACCAATAATAACTTTTGCGGGGTGTGGGGGTAAGAGGGAGGTTGTATTATAATATAATAATACTCCATCCATAGGAAAGAGAGACTTGTGTTTAAACTTAATTATTTTGCCGCCATAAAAGAATCCTTTTTCAACAAGGATGTTATCTCCCTTTATATATTATGCTTTTCTTCTAGAAGTTCCCAAACCCGGAAAGCATGTTACACTTTTTTTTATGCAAAAAGCATGTTACACTTAGTTAAGCAAATAATTAAATTTAAATTTATATCTAGAATTGAAGACGCCTTACCTTGTTAAAATTTAAAAGTTGTACCTTTCGTGAGCATGACGACTTTTTTTGGACTGAGGTAGTAATATGTGCATTGTTATAAATACGAACATGAAAGCCCAAGATATTCAGTCATGTGGTTGAGTTGGTTGGATATTCAGTTGGATGTTATTTTCGTATCTGGGCAGGTATGCAATCTCGCATGGTCTAAGAATGTGAATGAGCTGGTCAGCACACATGGGTACTCCCAGAACCAAATTATTGTTTGGAGATATCCTACCATGTCAAAGGTTTTGTTTTTCCCTATTATCAATGTGATTTACAAAAATCACAACCTTCATTAAGGCATTCGTTTCTTCTACCATTTTTTTTAATCTTCCTCATGTAAATGCAGATAGCAACTCTGACAGGGCACACGTACAGGGTCCTTTACCTTGCCATATCACCCGATGGCCAAGTAATTTAATAATTCTCTCCTTGATATATTTATCATCTCCATTCTGTTTTTCTCAGTCTCTCCCTCTCTCTCTCTGACACACACAAAGACACGCACTAACACTATAGGAAAGAACGAAACATGGTCATTTTTAAACATTCAGATATATGGCAATTTATTAGTCTTTAAATAATCAATTATCATTTAATAAAATGGGTTTAAACAAATCTTCAAAAGAATTCTTTTGAGTTTTATAGCTTATGTAAATTTTCCCAACAATTACTTCCCTTCCCTTCATCGTGATTTCCCTATTTTCTGTACCTATTCTTTTTTGGGTTGTTAACAGATGCTAGAAGCCTTGAAAGAAATGTCTTTATCTTAGAATATGTGTATGAATGTGCAGACAATTGTGACTGGAGCAGGAGATGAAACACTTCGCTTCTGGAATGTGTTCCCTTCTCCTAGATCTCAGGTATGTAAATTTGCATGGTGGACTGAATAATTTAGCTTTGCCTGTATTCCTTCCGTAGATTCATGCTATGTTATACATTGCCCTTTTTCAAGGAACTCAGGTTCAGTTGTATTAGACTCATGATAAAATCTAGTAACATCGATAAAAAAAATTTGGTGCAGAACACAGAGGGTGAGATTGGCTCATCTTGCCTGGGCAGAACCCAGATCCGGTGAAAATGCTCTCAACTTAATTTTCCGCATTACCACTTTTATGGAGAAATTATTTTACAAGGCATTGAGGCGATGATCTCTATCACCTACTCACCTTTGCCAAATACGTAGTATTATGTATTTATTTTTACTCGACCCAATTTGGTGGATCATCAACTGGCCAAAAAAGCTGTACAGTGGGAGAGGTTGTTATATACTATGTATACTTCATATAAAAGCTCAATAACAACACGCAGCCAGCAGGCGTGACTCATGGTTGAAAGGGTGTGCTGTGCGTGCTATGAAGACATTTTTTTCGGGTTCAAGTGCAGGCAAACCATCCAGTGTCCATTATCATGCTCAGCATCAGATTGCTCATAGTACAAAGCGAACACTATGTCAACCATATTAACATCTGAGTTAACCCCTCAAGGATGGAGCTCATCCTTTTTTTGATAGAGATAACATACATGTACGGGTCCATCAAATATTCATATTTACCACTGCTCAGTGCTATTCTTTTGTAAGTTATATATTGATTGACTGCTTATGAAACAAACACCCGTGTATTATTATTTTTTAAAATAAAACGGGATAAGGGCCTTGGCCTGGTGCGTATAAGGCGTATTAACCTTTTTTTGTGAGTTAGCGTTAGACTGCTTCCAGGTTGATTCACGTGTTTTGCTGGTTGTGCGATGAGTTGCGGGCCAAAACGTTCACACATGTTTAGTAGATATACGAGTTAACTAACACTGCGTACTTCTGACTTTTTTGTATAACTAACTCCTGTTGTGTATATTTTTCACGGATTTTTCTATCAAACTTAGAGGTCGTTTGTACGTTCGACTTGTAATAATTTTTGTAGCTTACTTTTCCGGGCTATTCGTGAGCTGAGTTGGGGTTTTAGAATATTGATCCGCCTATGTATCTTTTCTTTATATATAGGTAGCATTAGTGGGTTGAAGTAAGATGTTGGATAACTTAGTTGTTTATATAAAATACACGGAAAATTCTTGAAATAGGGATAAAAATGTTTGAAATTTTCATAATAGGTTTGTCATGTTTTTATTCTTCAAATATTAGTAATTATTGTCATGTTTGGAAAATGTTGTCATGTTTAAAGTTTGGTATTGCCAAAACATGACGGTAATCACTCATATTTAGGAAATAACAACATGATAATCCTATTTTGGAATACACAAATGTTTCACTCCTATTTAGCGAAATTTTCTTAAAATATACGTATTCAACATTTATTTTTTAATGGAAAAATCGCACTTTTAGTTCTTGAAATAGTCACTATATTGAAATGTCAGACCCGTATTTCTGAGATTGTAAATGGCACCCCTCAATTGTCCAAATTGTTGTAAATGTGGTCCTTTGAGGGGTGAAATGTACTCCACGCCCACATTGTACATTTAACCTCTCAAAGGATTACAATTACAACAATTTAGACAATTGAGATGTGAGATTTACAAACTTGAGAATATGGGTCTGTCATTTCAATATAGTGACTACTTAAGGGATTAAAAATGTGATTTTCCCTTTATTAATATTTGGTTTGTAGATAAATTTTGAAAAGCATATTTTAAAACTTGGGAGAACTTCCCAAATACAACTAAATGAAACTTTAATTGGCAAAAGAGAATCATATCTTTAAAATTCCTAAATAGGACTAACTTTCCAATTCTACCCTACTTTGTTTTAATACAAGTCATATTTCATTAAAAAATATAACATAAAAATATTAACATAACTTTATTGAAATGTAAAAAAATATAAAACACGAAATAAAAATTTAAAAAAAAAAATAATAAAAATAAAAGATCGATAAATAAAAAATTATAAAATAAAAAACTAAAAAAAATAAAATCAAATAAATAAAAAATTTCGAAAATATTAAAAAAAATATGCAGGCCTATGCATCCGCCTCAACAACCTCCCAGCACACTAGCTCCAATAATTATAAAAAATGCCAACATGTGTAAGAAATGTCATCTTGTAAAAAATGGCAGTTTTTACACAAAATGACATTTTTTAGTCGATGAGAGGTAACGTTCTTGGGCAGTGGCCGAGACTGTGGGAAAGGCCTTCATATTTTCTTTTTATATTTTGAAAGGTGTTTTATCTATTTTTAAAAGTTTTTTATTCTTAAAAAGTATTTTTTTTTAATTTTTATTAATTTAGCATTTTAAGAAAAATATGATATTTATATTTTTACAATTTTTTGTATAAGTTAAATAATTTTTTATTATTTTTTGTATTTATTACAAATTAAAATATGATTTTCCTATTAGGTTATGGTAAGAGTAGAATAGAAAGATAGGGTATACTTTAGTCCTATTTTGGTAAGAAAAATAACATAGTCATATTTCTGCATTTAGGGATTAGTTTAGTCTTATTTAGGGCTGTCATCTCTTAAAACTTCATATACCATGTTTATATACATTTTTGTACATATAAAGTTCAGTTCAAATAAAAAAGTGTCTAGCATGTAAAGTGTGAAAATTCTCATTTTTATTGTGTTGTGCTTGTTTCTTTGGGATTGTTTGGGCTTGTTTCTTTTAAAAAATATTTTAAAGTGATTCTATATAAAAGTGTTTAATAGTAAAAGTTAATGGTGTTTTAGAATAGAAGTAATTAATTGAAAATTTAAAGTCGAAGTTGAAGTGTTTGGTATTAAATGATTTTTAATTTAATTCTACATGTGTTTCTCAATAGTTGTAACACTAGAATTTTGTACGAGCTCTACTTTGACTAAATTTTTTATGATGCATTAAAATTTTAATTTTTAAAAAATTTAATTAAATTGTTCTCATTTGAAAATTGAAATATATGATTTTAATTAAATTTTTACAATTAGGAAATTAAATATATTAATGGTCAAAGCTGTACATTGGCAAACATGAAAATGAAAGTGTTGCGACTAAAAAAGAACGGAGGAACTATTATGTTGAAATACAAGAATACCCTTCATTAATTAAAAATATTAATTTAATATATACTTCATATGTATAAATTAAATCTAATATGCACCATTTGTGTTCTGAACACCACCATGAGACTATTTTTTAATATCATGCTTGTCTCAAAGTAGTATAGAGGAGAGTGTTGTGATAGGTATGTGATGACAAATGATATTATTTATTCACATGACATGACATGACATGACATGACATGACATGAGTCAATGTATTTATATTGCTAGATGGTGTCAAATATGTAAAGGCACATTACACTTCATACACCCAAGTGTGGTGATAAATATGCTAAGGTTGATAGGTTGTCAAATATGTGAGGGCATGATAGAGGGTGATGTGGTGATAATAATGGAATGTTTGATCACTTACAGAAAGATCATTTGATATAGTCGAGGTTATGAGGACGAAAATCAACATTATGTGTGTGCGAGAAACAAAGTGGATGGGAAATAAGGCATAACATATTAATTGTGGAGGTTTTAAGTTGTGGTATGGTATTTAGAAAGAGAGAAGACCAGAAATAGAGTAGATAAAATTATGGACTCGGGTTGTGATGGTTTTGAAAGTCGTAATGGCATGGCGAACATGGTTTTGGCACTAAAAATGAAGCGGAAAAGAACATTTTGAAATTTTCTTCGACGTATGAGTTTGTTATGATGAATACTTGGTTAAAGAAAAAGAATCTCACTTTTTGACTTATAAATGTGGAGCTAATGGTACCTAAATTGACTAATGTATATGAACTACTTGGAGAACTAATTACATAGATTGTAAGAGCATCTCCAATGGTAAATTGTGCACGGTGCACATATGGCATGAGATATAACCACATAAATATTAGTAAATAAATTCTTTCTCTTCTTATTTGAATGATTTTATATATTTTTGGTAAGTTTTTCTCCACAATGTCAAGGAGACCGTCTAGATGTTGACATTGTTGTTGACATTGCAGGGAAAAACTTACCAAAATGGTGTAAAATTATTCAAATAAGGAGAGAGATTATTTATTTGTTAATATTTATGTGGCTATGACGCATGCCACATGTGCACTGTGCACATTATAGCATTGGAGATGCTCTAAGGTATCTGTTTATGCAAAAATTATACTAGCTTATTAACAATCAAAAATGGAAAAAGGGAAATCATGCAAGAAGATATTCGAAGAGAAAATAAGCAGAAAGCTTGATGCTTTATTGATGAATTTCACTGTGTTTACAAAAGTAATGGTGAGTGGCCTTGTCTCAGAATCATCGTAAAACTAAAAGATGGATCCTTTTATAGTTGAAGCTACTTGCTAAATATGGGATGAAATAAACTAAACACGGAATAAAATATTAGAGTATCTTGAATACAATCTTTCCTTCCAGATAATTAAACAGCCCGGTGAATTAGCTCCTACTCCCATGAATCCGGCCGTTAATTGAGCTCTTCCATTCTGCCAGTATAGGTGGGTTTTTGTTTGGAAAGAATCTTTCGTTCTTATCTTCGATCTGCTGCAATTTTCTAGCTATTAGGTTATTCAATTTGTTTCTTGGGCCGAATAGCTTTAATATAATAAATAATTCTTGGCCCAACAGTATCCTAGGTTAGAGTGTTGTTACTCAACATGCATATGACACTTGTGCTTGATTATCGAGGTAAGAAACAAAGGATGCAAGTTAAGTAACAAGTAGAGTCAAAAATGAAATGATGGAGGCTCGATGGGGATCTTCAACAAAGTTTTACTCACAAAATGTTTGGTGAAAGTGTATGATTTATTGATAATAAAGCACATGTAGAGGATGTGTGTTCACCAATAGAGCAATTAATAAAGTGACAAAAGAGATACTAGGAGAATCTAAATTATGCTTCCCACAAAAATGACATGGTGGAGTGATGAAGTGAAACAAGCCATAAAGAACAAAAGAAAATGTTACAAAATTTTGACTAAAGCTAGCGTGATGCAAACATAGACGAGTATAAAAATGCTAAAAAAAGCTAAGAGAACCGTGAATGAAGCACAAGTAAAAGTGAAACAAAGAGTTATATGTAAAACTAGACTCTAACCAACGAGACAAAGATACTTATAGACTTGCATCAGTGCATGTAGAGGATACAAATTAAGTGTGAGAAGGATGACGATCAAATGATACTAATGGATGATGATGAAATAAAAAAGGTGTTGATGTTGGTATTTTGATACATTGTTCAGTGAGGAAATTGTGCAAGGTATTGTTGATCTTACTATACCAGATTGTATAATAAATCATTATTTTATGAAAATGATTCAAACCAAAAGGTTAAATTCACTCTGTAAAAGATGGGGTGAAAGTAAGCGGTGAATCTAGATGGCATAGCAATCGAGGCCTAGAGAAGTTAAGAAGAGATTTAATCTGTACATCCAAGAATTATATTTAGGTCTTTAGAATGATTGTAATTTTGGAGAATCCTTCCAAAATCAATATGGTAGAACGATTGTAAATATTAAGAGAATAATAATACAATCCTATCTTATGGCATTTAATTAGGAAAAAGTATAGAAAATGTTTAACATGATTTTAGATAGAGACATGCATTTCATTTTATAATAAAGTAGGACATGTATTTAAATTCAATTATCAAAGGAGGGGCATTGACGCCTTAACGCGGTTAGAAATCATCGGAGAAACAAAAAGTAATTCTAAATTTCAAAAGTACCCGAAAAATTAAAAGAGAAATACTTGGAGAGTCGGAGTATACTTCTTCAAGGAGACCTCCAATTCTCCAAACCTCCAAATAAAAAAATGACCACACTAAATGTGGATATAGTTTCATCATTTTTTTCAGATTTAGATGGCATACCCATTGAAGCCTAAAGATATTTAAAAATAAATAATCAGTGTTATTCCAAAGACATGTTTATCCCGGTCTACGAAGCCGGGTTCCCGGGTACGACTATCTAAATTAAAAAAAAAAAGTGAATAATCAATGCTAGTCTAGACTCTACAAGCGTCTGCAAATCACTTCATGTGAAGCCTAAAAATTTCATGCTTAAAATTTTAGTATTGTATACAAATTAAAATGTCAAACACGTGTACTGTGTACAAATTCTCTTCATGATTACTCTAGTCGACCCAGAGGTTTGAATATCTTGAAGACTTGAACCAAAATGTACTTTAATTGACATATACATTTCAGTTTATTAGTTAAATGAAGTGAATTACAATTGCAATGACTCCAAAAAGTAAAATCACAAAAGCCGTGTATTATCACTTTTAATCATGAACTTTGATTATTTTCACTGTGATTATTTTGTTAAATCTGAGGCAATTATCTTTGAAGGTTTGAGCTGTTTTGAAATAGTTCAGCTAAAATATAAGAAAGAACAAAACTAAATCTAGGAGGGGGGATTACTCAGCAATCCTTGACAACTAGCAAGAAATATACAAGAGAGCAAGTAGAAAAAGTAAATAAAAGATAAACTAAAATGTATTCCATAAAGCCAAACATGTACTCTTACAAGAACTTCCTGTTTCAATGATGGAATAAATAGGTTCAATAAAATAATGGATGAACCCATGAACTCTTACAGTCAAAACAACAGTCTTGACATGTTAACTGCACTGAGACAATAAAACTCTACAGCTAGTCCTCATCATCTTCTAAAGCGTTGTATATTACCCTAACGCAAAGAAATAGAGAATGTTACTATAGAAGCCAAGTTTCATAAAATTAATGATTAAAAGAAAAACAAAGATAGACAATTGTGTCTGGACTTATTTATTTATCTTATGTGGTGCCACAGCCCACATTGTACTGAATGTGTATCCATTTTAATAGCCGGATGTCATGATAAAGAAAATATTATACTTTTCATCTAAGGACAGTTAGGTCATTTTTAATATTGGCCCGACTTTAAAATTTTCCACTTTTAGTGCACGACTATGAATTTTTTTGTCCAGTCTGTTCCTTCGAATCACTTACAAGCCAATTCTTCAAACAATTTTCGATTGACTTTTTGGAAGATAAGAGATCAATAAGACCGAATACATGAACCTAAGTGCAAGAAAATGAAAGTCGGTGATCAATAGTGAAAATGGCCTAATAGTGGTGGAACTGATAGTGAAATATTTTGAATAGAAAGCTAAAAGATTTAGAATAGTTAAGACACCATTTTTAAACTATCTTATTGATTCAATAGTATAAGTTGTCTCACTCACATGAATAAGGATATGAAGAGCATGATAACAAGATAAGCAAGCTTCCAAAGCCTCCGTTTCTTCTCACAATTTAGTTTGTTGAAAATCTCTGTTACATCTATCAAATGTTGTCTTCCTAGGTACCTATCAAGACAATAGAAGGTAAGACTTCAAGGTAACAAAAAATCTCGAGCAATTTTGTTTCGCATTAAATGCTTCACCGCCCAGTAGCAGAAGAAGGTAAAGACTTCAAGGTAACTGCAAATCTTAACACTGGAAACTACAAAGCAGGTAGTTTTTTGGGTTACACAAAAGCAGGTAGTTTGAGGCTTTGTTACGGTGGCTCCTTATCTGGCTCATTCTGCTCATGCACAAAGAGTAGTTTTTGAATCTTTTTGGCTAAAAAAATGGATGTTCTCAAATGCTCCTACCTCCGTCCCATATTTATCTTCATAGTTCGGTTTACGATGCTTGACTGGCGATAAAGCAACTCGACCCCTGTTCACACTCGGATTATTTTTAGTAAATAAAATTTACATATTCAGAAACTACATTAAAACCGCTGCAAAGCCTGATCAAGAAATTTTAAGTTTGATAAAAATTTGATATATAAAGTAAAAGATTAAGAGTAATTTGAGTTGACCATGTGAATAGTAACTATGAAGATAATTTTGGGACGGAGGGAGTACTTCTTTTGGAAAATTCAGCTTTATAAGCTTTTATCTCCAAACAGCTTATTTTGTTAGGTATATAACCGATTTGACAATGTAGATTGGTTCAGCTTTTGATAAATTTGAGGCATCCACAGCCAGGAAACTTACTTAACAAAAAATAACAAATTTACATTTTTACCTGCCAAACTAACATTTTAACACTTTTTCTAAAAGCTGAGGGAAGAAGAAAATCTTTGAAATAAAGAGCATCTATGTCTTTGTACATTAAAGCTCCAAGGAATAAAGTCCTTATCATAAAAGAGGATGTTACTGGTCAGGCGGTCACATCTTCATGCAGAGCAGAACTATATAAGATGCTACTGAGAAAAAGCAATTGCTCCTGAACAGATAATGAATTTTTATTCAAACTTACAGCGTCACGTTGTAGTATGAATATGGAACGCAGAGAAGTGCGGCAAACCAGTGGCCGGTGACAAGATAAAGGAAACATAAAATTCCATGTGTGATGAACTCTGGGAGGATAACTTTGTTTATCCTAGAGGCAGAGTCAAAAGGATTGATATAGTCAAATTCTAGATCGGCCAGGCACATAAGCTGAAAAGTTAATATGGCGTTAGATTGCATATAAGCATAAAACATCTAGCAAAAGAAAGTCTCCCTGTTACTATGAAAAAAAGAGCTACTTGCAACTTTTTTATTTTGGCAAGGTATAATGGTAGAATGTCATAAAATTTATTTGTAATTCTAAACTTCATTTCTTGGATTAACTAAACTTATCCTATTTAACTTGTTGTCCACCTATCCATCTTGGAAAATGACATGACAATGTACTTTGGTTTGAAGATATATGACTCTTTTTGGGACAAAGAATAGGACTCTATTTTTGGGATGGATGGAATAGTGAGAAAATTATCACACAAAAAAGCTCAAAAGAAAGGTTCTTTGAGGATGTAGATATTCAATACAGAATACAAATGCAGCTCGGCAGTAGCTTCTGTTTTGTTAGCAAAGATTTAGAATTAAATTATGTACTGTGTACCCGTTTGATGAAAGAATTGATTACTGTGATTTAGGATTGAGGTTCTTGATTACGGATAAATTCATAACCTACCCAACAAACAGACTGATGTGTTTATTGATCAATAGTCTCTGTACTAGAATGAACTAAGTTTAATTGCTCAGAGGGCATTTACAAAACAGTACCACCGCTGGACGGAAAACACTGATATGAAAGCGAGCAATATAGAGAAACACACAAGGTGGGGGGGGGGGGGGGGGGGATTATTAGGGTTTAGTCGAATTCACCTGGTAAATGACCATGACAACAATAGAAACGAGCATGAAGAAGAAGAGCAGCCATGCCCAAAAATCGCTCATTCTGCCAGCAGCGTGGCCGGAAAAACAAGAAACGAGGATCGAGCGCCGGGAAAGCTGTCGAGTGAAGTTGGAAGCTAAGAATAGTTTGGGAGGGCATTCACAGGAAAGGTAAAGCGCACACCGCGTCCGTCTCAGGTTGGTTTGCAACTTCTCTTAAAAAAAGCACTTCTCAACTTTTGGCTTTAAAAAAGCACTTATTTTCCCAAACACTACAACTTTTATTTTTCTCGGCTTCCGCATCAAAAGTGCTTTTACTTTTTCTATTACACAAAAAACACTTATTTTACCAAACAACACCCACTTTTACTTTTCAAAATCACTTTTTTCTCAAACACTATCAACTTTTATTTAATCACTTCTCCTCATTTCATTTTAAAAAGCACTTTTTTAAAAGCAGAAGCTGTTGCAAACAGACCCTCAACCTTTCTCTTTCACTCCTTGCGTGAATGACACGTTCCCAAATCCTACCGAATTTCTATTTCTGATGAATATTAAGCGGGTGCATATTCATTTTTTTTATCTTAAAATTTTATATTAAAATCGAAAACCTATACAAGATCATCTTCAGACAGATTTTATGGATCCAATAGTGAACTTTAAGGGTAGACATAGAAATAGCCACCTCATACAAAATAACCTGACTCTCTAAATCTGAAACAAACAAATTTAAGGCTAAAACGAACGGATTTGAAACTTTGTCTATCAAAAGAACTCTAAAAACCCAAACATTCAAACCAAATCTACTCAGACAAAAACAAAAAACCAATACTACTAAAGAGAAAATAATATTAAAATAAAATCTTTCCACAAAACTCTTCCTGGTAAGGAGGTGGTTCCGGAGGAAGACGAGCTCTTGCAATATGGGTAAATACCAACTCCACCACCGCCCGAGCAGCCGACCAAAGCTTCACGATCCAACACCGATACAAACTCTCAGTCGCAATCCGTTTATCTGCCAACGTTATCTTCTTCGTCGTAGTTGCAATCTCAAGCATTAGAACACTTGTAATCAGAATAATCTGCCACTCCAGCCCCATATTGATAACGACGGAGGAAAATCTCAACTCCTACAAAGAGGAAAGACGGCCGCTAGGTTTTCAGAGAGAAGCAATAGCTCTCTGCGGGTGTATATTCATTTAGAAATCTCGTTGATGTATTAAATTAAGGCATTTTAAGACATTTTATTAATCCTAAAATGTGTAGGTTTATTCATATTGGTCTAGAGCCCGTTTGATCACACGAAAATTGGCTGATTTGGATGATTCTGCTGAAATTTATGAAGTTTTGACTAAAGTGACTGCATTGGCTGATTCTGCTGATTTAAGAAAAAATTATTTTTAAAATATATTTTATTAATAAAATAAAGAAAAAAATATATGTAAAAATAGCTAAAATGATCACCTATAGTAACTTCAGCCAATACAGCCAGAAAAAAAAATAAATTCAACCTTACTTTTTCTGCATATTACACAATTCAGCGCGCGACAGCAAAAGTTACGTGTTTGGTGAAATAGTTGGCTAATAAGCCTCATAAACCAAAAAATAGTATTGTCAAACGGCCTCTAAGTCATGAATTGTGTTTTACAACTATAATAGTGTAGATACAAGGAGAATACAAAGCGGACGGCCTAGTGTGTCCAGGGTAAGATTGGCAGACCACAGCGCTGGTTAACTCGGCAGCGGCACTGTTCCGATTTTAGAGAGGGAGACAAAGGGAGAGTTGCTTAGAATCGGAGGTCGTTTTTGCATCCCTTGGCTCAAAAGAGATTAAAACCCCCTGACCGCCCTCGGAGGAATTTGAAAAAAATTTCACTAAAGCCTTGAAACAATTACAAGATAAACTCTACTGGTCTACCTTTGAGTCACCCCAACTCTATTATCTCTAGGAAGAGTTATGCATCTCTAGCTTGTGGGTAGAGAGCCACTCAGAAGATGCTTTCAACAGGCAATCCTCAATACCCCGAGTGATGAACAAAACATGTTGAAATGGCATGAACCACTAATTTGTTCAGGAAAAGAGTACCGTCAAATGAAATAAGGCCTTTGCACTTGAACACCATGCATCAAGCTGCAGACATCTTCACAAAAGCACTTGAAATGGAGCATTTTCTATTCTTGTTGCCTTGTTGGGCAAGTTGCACGTCTAAGACAACCTACACGCTCCAATTTGAGGGGAGCGTAGATGTTTTAATTTGTTTCCCAATCTATTTGGGGCTCTTTATTTTGTAGTCTTCTTTTCTATGATTCTTTCCTTCTTTTAGAGTTAGAATTATTACCTTAACAATTACTCTTAGAGATTCATTCCAAATTAGGACTCTTCCTAACCCATATATATATATATATATATATATATATATATATAAATGCTAAGGTAAGGTAGGCCTAAGAATTGTAATTCTTAGGGGGTGTTTGGCAAATGGCTGTTGGCTGTTGGTAGTTGGCTGATTTTGTTGGCTGATTCATAACAGCGGATTCTGTTGGCTGTTTTGATCGGCTGATAGTATTAGCAGTTTGTAAAATGGTGTTTGGTTAAATGACTGTTTACAATCAGCTGATAATTTTTTAAATGACTTTTAAGGACATCAGTCAATTTTTTATTTACTAACTACTGTTTATATACGTATTATACATTTTGTCAATGGTATTTGCATGACTAGCCCATAACTGGTTTTATAATTTACGAAAACTAAAAATATTAAAAACAACTCTTTTATAAATAATTTTTAATGTATTAATAAACTAAAATACGTATAACCGTTATAAGTAAAAATATACTGAGAAATATTGTGTAAAAAAATAATTAATGTTTTTAAATATTAATGTCATCATAATTAAAATATTAGTGAATAGTGATCACTTCATCCTAACAGCTAATGTATCTTAAAAAAATTCACAGTAAATTAGAGGCACCTAAATTACTAAGCCACAAGTTACTTGTTAATTAGAGGCTAAGAGCATCTTGGGTGAGGCCTAAACGAAATATATAGCTGAATTAGCTATGCAAAATAAAAATAAAAATCTCATTAAATAAAATAAATAAACTAATATGGAGCATCTAAAAATGAAGGCAAATTATGAGCCGTGGGACTAAAATAGCAGCAAAACTCAATATCAGTAGGAGCCATGGGAATAAATAGCAGCTAAAACCCAATTTTAGTATGACTTGAAATGAAAAGCAAAAAAAAAAACAAATTTTCCAGCAAACGAATTGACAGAGACTTGTACGTACTCCGTATATATGAGATGAAATCCATTCATTATTCTAATATTCTTTCATAGCATCAAAATGTCAATTTGGCAGAACCTTGTTCATTATTCTTGTTCATACGAAGTAATTAACGAAACAACTACGTAGTACATCATCACTTAGTTGAAAGAAATAAAATAGAAAACGGAAATCATTCGATCAAGAGGGAGTACACAGATTGAGAAAACCTGGAGAGCAAAAGTTTGCAGTTTTTTTGTTGAGAAGGAGAATTAGTGACGAGAATTGAAGGGAGGCACCGAGGCAGGAGGCACTGAGGCAGCGTAGAATTATGCGTGGGTAGATTAGGGAAAATTGGCAAGAAACTGAATCCGCCGATTCCTAAACGCCAGGTTTTGTGGCTTTTTAAAATTTGGCTGTTTGGATAAAAAAGCTAAATGAAAACGCCAAGTAACCAAACACCCTATTAGCTGATTCATCTGGTCAAACTGCTAAATATTGGTCAAAACAGCTAAAAAATGGCTGATAGGCCATTAACCAAACACCCCCTTAGGCCTCTTTCATTTGAGGTGCTTCCGGGTCGAATTTTTCGATGACATTTTGTGAGTATATTCTCCATGGATTGAAGATGATGTCCACCAAGTTTCACAATAAAATTCAATCGGGAAGTCATTTAAATAAATTGTTGAAAAAAAACTGTATTTTATATATGTAAAAACCTGCGCAATTTTGAAAAAATTATTAAACAGACTTCCCGATTGAATTTTTTTCCGAAATTTGGTGGGCATAATCAACACTTCATGGAGAACATGCTCACCAAATTTCATCAAAAAATTCATCTCAGAAGCACCTCAAATGAAAGAGGCCTAAGAATTTCAATTCTTAGGCCTACCTTACTTGAATATTTTCCTATATATATATATATATATACACACATATATATACTACCAGTCTTGATGAATGAATAAATTATCGGTTCTGGCCATTTTCTACAGTGAATGAGTCCGATTAGAAAATTGCATAACAATTGTCCTATTTGTGATAAATTATGGGAAAAAATTCGTATATATGACTAAAACATAACGACACTCCCAAAATATGATTAAAAAAAGTAAAACATGCGAAATATGACCAATAAATACGGCATGGCATCATGCGCCACATGACACCGGCAGTATAATTCCGTAAATGCCCTAAATAAGAATGTCTGCAAAACCAATACACTACAAATGGAAACGAACGTTTTTTTAGGAGCCATCTTGAATGCATTAACTTCCAGCGTTTTTTTAGGAGCATATTGTCTATTGCCCTATGTGATCGGATGAAATGATATTTACAAAAAGGAAGTTTTACTTGATCCATTTTCATTTTTATCCATTTTTTAAAAATATTTATCAATTTTTCTTATTTTCTTGATCTTTCATATGATATATATATATATATATATATATATATATTTCATATGATTTAGAAAAAATGTTTTTTTTAAAATTTTTTATATACAATATTGATACAATTGTAAATACAATGAAAAGTTATTAAATCTAATATAACGAAAATTAAACAATATTATCAAGTAGGATTTCAGATAAATTATTGTTGTCACTACAAGAATCTTGACATAATGTGACAATTTTTTTCGTCATATAAAATTCATTTTTTGTCACTAAAACCTTTATGTAACGAATTATGAGCGTCACAGTGGTTGTCACCGTAGCTCCGTGGTATTAGGTCTATGTGACAAAATTTTGATTCGTCACCAAATAAATATCATTTAATGACATTTTAGCACTTTGTCACCATTATTAACCACTTTCATGACGCTTAATTTATCACGTTTATATCGATTTTTTTGTCACCTAAATATATCTTTTGTCACCAATAATTCACACAATAAATGACAAAATCTTAAATTGTCAACAAAACATAGCATATAGTGAC